CCAGGAAGAGGGAGAGGGGGGAGAGAATTGGGAAGTGTTGGGGAGAAAAAGGAAAGAAAGAGAGAAGGAGCGCGAGAGGTGTTGAGACGGAAAAAGAAGGATGAAGAAGGCGGGTTAGATGGACGGGGGGAGGGAAGGGAGAGATGCCATGCTGAAGGGAACCAACGACACAAAACTAAATCCCCGCAAGAGGTGTAAGGAATCAAGCACAAGCACGGGCGATCAAACACATTCAACACACACAAAGAAAAGCATAGCGATTTAAGGAAATGCACACATGCATGCATGTATGCAGGCAAGCAAGCAAGCACGCAGGCAAGCAAGCGAGCAAGCAAGCAAGCAAGGCATTAAACAAAGCAAACAAACATCGCGACTTAGAATTAGAGTTAAAGATCTATTTGGATACGTGGCGGTTGCATTGTAGTGATTGAATTTTAATTTTTGAAGAATTAATGCAATTGGAGTTCTGGCTTGAACAATTAATGCTTCACTTAACATATTCACTCATATTTGAAATTTGAATATCTCATCATATAGGACTATTTTTATAAATATATTATTATATATTCAAATTTTGGAAATGTAGAAGCATATTTAATATAATTAAAAAAATCTGTTTTTTTAAAATGTAAATTAAACAAATAATATGCTATATGTCCATACAGCATATTCAAAAGTACAGTATATGCATTTTTTAAGGTAAATTGAACAAATAATATGATATATAGTATGTATCTATATATATATATATATAGTATGTATATATATAAAGATATAGAGACACATATATCCGAATATATCCATACCGCATATTCAAATGTGCAGTACCTCTCAAAAGTGGTGCTGTATGACAACGTATATATGAAACGATGATTCCCCAAGAGCGTATCCACACTGAGGCTCACTGAGGTGCTCTTACGGTATATGTGTGAAAAAGCCAGTGCTTGATCAAGGTGCTGGCTTTGGGCGCCGGCATTTCCCCTCTAAATTTCCGTTTTAAGGTGGCTCTTGTGAACTGTTGACATGCGTTTCGACGGTGTAGGCTTGTGCAAAGTGTGCGTCCGCGTTCTGGGCTGATTCTGCAGCGCAGCCTTTCTCCTGTAAAATTCCGTGCGCAGTCGCCCTTGTGAAATCATGACATGCGTTTCGTGTGTGTGTGTGGGTGTGTGTGTGTGTGCGTGTGTGTGTTTGCATTCTCTACTCGGACAGCGCGGGCTCGCACAAACTGCGCGCCTGGGTTCTGGGACGGGGCACTTTTCCTGTACATTTTCATACAATGTTAATCTCATGACAGGTTCAATGTGCATTCCGGCTGCGCAGGCCCACACAAAACAAGCAGCGCGGTCTCGGGCTCGGTCCTCGTCCTCAACATCCTCCTCCTCCATCTCATCATCCTCAGCATCATCACTCGACACCACATCAACCACAACATCATCACCATCATCATCATCATCATCATCCTCAATATCATCATTTTCCTCCTCCTCGCCTCAAGACCATCATTCTCAACATCATCATCATCAACATCATCAACATCATCATCATCATCATCCTCATCCTCAACATCCTCAACAGTATCCTACTTTATCCCCCCTCTCTCCCAACACCGATTTGGGTCTCGTGCCGGGATAATGGTAATTGTCCAACCTGGCCGGGTGTATGATTGCCATATGGCATCAAATCATCATGGTGTCTTATGATTGCCATATGGCATCAAATCATCATGGTGTCTATTAGATATATTTATTTGTGTTTTGATTTCGCTCATTTCTTCAATTACCTATTCATTTATGCATGCATTTATCAATTTTCAAACGGTTTATTTATTCATTCATTATCGTGTTTGTTCAGAAGATTGAATAAATAAACATATATATATATGTTTTCGTTAATGGCTTAAATACAACTCTATTTATTTTTTCGATTTACGCATACATACATACATACATACAAATATGATTATATATTATATATTATATATAGAATGTTTTTTACGACCGCAATAAATTGAAGCGCGCCGCTTCAGGAGTAAATATCAAAGTTTTGAAACGGGGGAAGGGGAGGAAGCTTATAATTTTTTAAAGAAACGGGAAGCCTATGGGAACGACGCCTGGTCGCCTGGATGCCACGACCGTTCCCCGTGTCAGCTCCTGGAATTCTTTCTCCTTCTCATGTCTTTGTCTTGGCATCTTTCTCTGATGATGCCCCTCTCCCTTGATCCGGTTTGCCCTTCGCAACCCCTGAGTCTTGACACCTTTCTTGTTGACAGCTCTGCAGCCGGAGATCTCTCAGGCAACTTTTTTTTGACAAACTTTTTCTTGCTTCACTCACTTCCTTACTCTTTTCATTTTGCCAATCTCTGCACTTCCTACTCTTGTCATTTCTCTAATCTGAGCACTTCTCTCCTCTTCTCATTTACCACTTCCCTACTTTCGCTATTTCCCACTCTAAGAATTTCCCGGCTCTTTCCCTTCCCTGCTTTCTTCATTCGCCGCTTCCTTACTTCCCCATTCTTTCATTTTCCTACTCTTTTTCCTTTCCTGGCATCTTCTGGATCAAATGTTGCGTCTGACTTGGGGAATAAAGATTCGGCCTTAGGGTCCAAGAGTTTAGAGTCATGGATTTATGGTTGAAGAAGTCTAGGGTTGTGGAATTTATGATGTAAGGGATTTAGGGTTCACGGGTTTAGGGTTAAAAGAAATTAAAGGGTGTACTGTAAGGGTTGAAAACTTTAGGGTTAACGGGGTTTCGGGGGTTAAAGAATCTTAGAGTTAGATAAAAGATTTCGAGGGTTGGATAAAAAACTTTCAAGGTTGTAAGTTGTAAGGATTCTGGGGTTAAGGCAACGTGACGCGCCAACAGCTCCCCGGCCACTTTGGTTGCGGTCGAAAACAGCTCAAAGGAAGGGCATTTTGGTTCAAATCCTAACCAGGAGCTTTTTTGGAGCCTTCCGGGTTCCTATTCAAACCAAACTCCTTGCAGGAAGTCATTGGAAAGAGTTGTTTTAAGCCAATTTCTGGCTAGGGGAGCCCTTTTGAAGCTCGATTGTGGCATTTTGGCAGCCCTCCAGGCCCCTATTAAAAGCTTCCTTTTGGAAATCATTGGAAAAGGCCTTTTTGGATCAAATCCATGCCAGTCTGGAAATGCCTGGAAACGGTATGAAACGGCAATTCTTGGGTCAAATCCTGACCAGAAACCTTTTTGGAGCTCTCCGGGCCACTATTAAAAGTAAAAGTTTTCTTCCAGAAATGCCTGGAAACGGCAATTTTGGACCAAATCCTGTCCAGGAACCCTTTTGAAGCTCGGTTTTAGCATTTTGACAGCCCTCCAGGTCCCTATTAAAAGTTCCTTTGGAAGTCACTGGAAACGGCCATTTTGGGTCAAATCCTGGGCAGGACCTTTTTTGGAGCTCGATTTTGGCATTTTGACAGCTTTCCACATGGCAATTTTAGTCTATGTTGGGGGTCTGGACTGAGTATTTCTTAGAGGTTCATTGCATCTCCTTTGATCCTTCATGTTGGGCCCCGGCTGTGGCCATATGAGGTTTGGACACGAAGATGACCTCCCGTCCGGCTGTCCCAAACCAAGTTGTTGACACATCATTTTGAAAGGCTTTCTTGGACCCTCCTCCCAAATTACTGTTTAAAGGCAAGTTTAGTCTATGTTGGGGGTCTGGACTGAGTATTTCTTAGAGGGGACCAAATTCTGGCCGGGAGCCCTTTCGACGCTCGATTTTGGCATTTTGACATCCCTCCGGGCCCCCATTAAAATTTCCTTTTGGGATCAATGGGAAACGGCCATTTTGGGCCAATTCCTGGCCAGGAGCCCTTTTGGAGCTCGATTTTGGCACTTTGGCAGCCGTCCGGGCCCCCATTAAAATTTCCTTTTGGGATCAATGGGAAACGGCCATTTTGGGCCAAATCCTGGCCAGGAACCCTTTTGGAGCTTGATGTTGCAATTTTGACAGCCATCCACATCACTATTTAAAGAGGGGCCCCATTTTGGAAAGGGGCCAAGAGCCCTTTTGGAGCTCGATTTTGGCATTTTGACAGCCCTCCGGGCCCCCATTAAAATTTCCTTTTGGGATCAATGGGAAACGGCCATTTTGGACCAAATCCTGGCCAGGACCTCTTTGGGAGCTGGATGTTAGCATTTTGACACCTTTCCACGTCGCTATTTAGAAAGGGGCCCCAAGTCTGGAAAGGCAAGACTCTTCAAGAATGTATGTAAAAAAAGGGAGGCCCCATGAATCGAGGTTTAGGGCACGGGCGCCCTACTGAACCAAAACAAACATCCTCAAAACAAAGGACTAAAAAGGGGTGCCCCAACATAAAAAGACATAAATCACAAAAACTGCTTTTAGGAAAGGGGGGCCCCATAGTTTAAGGTTTAGGGCGCGCACGCCCTACAGAATACAGAACCAACACACTCCAAAACAAAGGAACAAAAGGAGGCCCCGATATAGAAATAGAAAGGCGAAATTCTTCAAACATACCTTTTAAGAAAGGGGCCCCAAGATAGAAAGGCCAAATTCTTCAAACACACCTTTTAGGAAAGGGGCCCCCGAAGTTTAAGGCTTAGGGCGCGCACGCCCTACCCACTGAACCAAAACTGAACCAAAACTGAACCAAAACCCACTGAACCAAAACAAAGGGGTACAACAAAAGGGGGCCCCAAACCAAACCACATTCTCAAAACAAAGAGATAAAAAAGGGGGCCCCAACAGGGGGCCCGAACCCAAAATCCGAAAATAAGGGGCCCCCAAAAAAAGACCAAAAAACGGCCAAAATTGCTTATAAATCGGGGGGCCCCATACTTAAAGGATTAGGGCGCACACGCCCTATAGAGAGAAACAGTCTTCAAGTTCTGTCATTCGTAAAGTTTGACCAGGACGACAACCTGTGTTGTCGAACCCAATGGTTAATGATCATTATCCCTATTAAATGGCTATAATTGGGAATATACCCTATTTTCAGACAAACCCATATAACTTGGTACAGGTCGAAAGATGGCTGCATGGGGAGACTTTCTTTCGGTGGCTTGGAGCACGTGTCATCTGACGGAGGGTGGGTGGGTGTGCTGAATGACAGCCAGCGTCGCAGGCATTCATAGGATCCATGGTTCGTAACCAATTTTATGCAAATGGTTTCAAATATATGCAAATAACTGCAAATATATAAATATATATACATAATATATATATATGCATATATTTATAGATGTTTATATAGCTATATATGTTTGATTATATATATATATATATATGTATGTATGTATGTATGTATGTATGTATATGTTTACATATAGGTATAGGTATATATTTATGTATGTGTATGTGCGTTTGTATTCACATTGATATGTATACTTATACGTATGTATATGTATGTGTATATATATATATATATATGTGTGAATAACCATACCTGGGTTGTCTTGGGGTATTCTTGCCATCACCAGTGAATTTTGGTCATATTTATTGATGTTTATATGGAGGAAAGCTTTGGTTTCCCCAAGCGGTCCGCAAAATGCACAGTTTTCTGTGGACAATGGTTTGGGGCATCCAAAAAAAATAGGCAACACCTTTGCTGTCCGACTATTTGTGCCCCCAGGTTCACTACTTGTAAATAGAGTTGTTCAAAACTCTAATACCATCTGAAATCGTCCAAAATAATCTAGAACTGTTTAAAATCATTCAGAATCATCAAAAAATATTCAAAATCATCCAAACATATCCATTTTCAATCCTCCTTCATTGGTGGTTACGTCTTAATGTTTGCACCATGTGCAGTTAGAGCTTCATGGTTTTGAATGGTTTTGGAGGCTGCGCGGATCGAAGTTGGCTCGGAAGACCACGAATGTATCTCAGTTGTGTCTGCTTGTGGTTCAAACATTTTGGGGGGAATGCTGGCCAAACATAGAACCACACATGAATTGGGATGAGGGGATCACACATATATAGTTATATAAACATCTACAAATATATGCAAACATAGAACCAAACATAGAACCACACACTGAATCGGTATGTATCGGGGATCAAACATGATCAAACCAATTTTGGGGTGAGACAGCCAAAAGGGGATAACTACCATAAAATTGGGATGGTACTCGTACCAATTCTGGGACGGGTGGCCCAACCGAACCACCAATCAGTCATTGGCCATCCAAGTTTGCCATGTGGACTAGCAATCGTCAAGGGTCTCACAAACAACACCAATTTGTTTTTAATGTGATTTCTGTCCTGTTCAGAGGCACTACTCGAGTAGCCCACTTGGAAGAGTAGGGATGTAATTTCAAATTGCATTGTTTTGGTAAGACTATTGTAAGTTATCACTTCACAATGTAATCTAAACAAACTTGCATAAACTGTTATAAACTACCAGGGTCACAATATGGGACCCACGTCAGGTTCAGATGAACGTGGAATCTATGCCACGTGTTCGCGATTGGTGCAGCAAGAACTGGATCGAGTGCAGCAGAAGTATCGCTTGGTGTCTTGGAGACTGCAAGGCAACCACCCAATGATATCTCCATTGATTTAACCATCAACAATAAAATACCTATGAAATACCATTAAATCATATTAAATCCCTATTGTTGATGGTTAAATATGTTAGATCACCAGAAGTATCACTTGGTGTCTTAGGTCTGTGAGGCTTCCAATGATCAGAAAAGGATGCCATGCGAATCTTAACCACCCATTGAGACCACCCACAAAGAGAACGGATAATCGGATAATCCTAACCATCCACTGTTACATGATCCCACGTGGTATATATATAATTATACATATATATATAATTATACATATATATATGTATGTATATGATCTTCCTTCTTAATCCTTTATACTTGTTTGGTTAAATCCACATTTTGTTTGTTTAAATCCGCATCAACACTGGAGGGGTCATCGACATGGAAGTTTTTGAGTCCCTAGAGCTGCCGTTGTCTCATGGTTGATGTGCCTCAAGGGCTAAACATGAAATATGTTCGACTATGAATTGTCAATTGTGTAATTCTATGTTATCTATCTATCTATCTATTTATCTATCTATCTATCTATCTATCGATCGATCTATCTATCTATCTATCTATTTATCTATCTATCTATCTATCTATCTATTTATCTATCGATCGATCGATCGATCTATCTATCTATCTATCTATCTATCTATCTATCTGAATAATGATGCAACCTCCACACAGATAGAACAAATTGTAGATCTTAGAAAAAAATGATTACAGAGCTATTATAGATTATTATCTGCCATTATGGTATATTATGGTGCTATACCAATCATGATGGTTGTGACTTCCAACAGGTGCGTCCTCAGTATTCCCAGCAACATCAACATCCAATCAATCTTTGTGATTATTGCTAGCCATGTCTCCTGGTTCCTAGCTTCCACCGCCATTGTTTATATCCCTCACCCTTTCAACCAATCGATTCCCAAGGGGTATGTTTCACACTTATTGCTGGTCTAAATCATCATATGTCTTTATCAGTGCAAGTAGAATTCAAAAGTCCAACCCCAAAGGTTAAATGGGCACAGCCTGAATGTTTGCATCCTATTTGACCCAGCAATATTGGTGAGAACATGTGAGAACTGTCATGGAATTTCAAGTGTTCCCCCTCAAATGCAACTACAACTGGTTGGTGGTTTGGAACATGAATTTTATGTTTCCATATATTGTAAATAATAATCCCAACTGACTAAGATTTTTCAGAGGGGTAGGTATACCACCAACCAGACAAGTACCAAATCAAACAAGGACTTGTGAAGAGATTGCACCAGCAACTCTCCAGGGCAGACATGAACCCCCATCGTTGGGAGGCTATCTCTGAGGCAGTCAGTAAATCCTTGCAGTTATGGCCCGAAATACCAGTTATAAGTACTGAACTAACCACATGTATGGAATCTACAATCCCATAGAAATAACTATAGTTATAACCATCATTAATCAATATTAGCCACTATTAACCATAACTAACCACTAGTGATCACCATGAAAATTATCAGTTATAACTAATAGCCATGGCCATGCAGATGCCATATCCTCAATGGTTTCCCATGGCGATCATCACGGTCTTCCCATGGGGCCTTAGGATTCGACTCGTGTAATCCTTGCAGGCTACTCACAGGTGCGGAGAGGACTGGAACGACGGGGCATTCCTCGGCATTCTCCGGTGGTTCACCGTTGTTGTCCATGAACCCCAATGGCCCAATGGTTGAAGCCTTGCTGAAAAGATGCTGAACAGTTCTTCCAGGATATTTGTTAGATGATGTTTTCCCCATCATTTCCAGTTTTCCAACCTTTTTTTTCTTGTTGAAGGTTGCTATACTTGATTTTTGCTAGGTTTTTTGGCTAATATACCCTGCGGTAATCAAACATGGTCAGCTGAAAACTCTTCAGTTAGGCCAATGATTTCCCAGCTAGAAACCTTATTTTTTATAAAGGATGTCCCATGCTTTCCCATGATTTCCCCATATTTTATAGTGGATTTCCCATGGTCTTGCTATGTTTTTGCAAACCAGGGAGCTGCATGCGCCCTTCAGAGCGTGGCGGAATATCCGCGCCGCAGTCGCGGTTCGGGGCGATGCGGTTGGATGAGTTGTGTGGTTGGTTCCCCATGCGGCTACTGTAAACAACAAAAAGATGTGGAAAAGCCATGGGAAAACCCTATGCACTATGCACGTGATCTACAAATAGTGGATTTTCCACATCGAACTAAACTTGGAAACGGAATAGTATTATCATGTATCGCCTGTCCAACTCTTTTTATGTCTACATATCATGTACAGGGTCACTTATCTAACATTGTAGACGTAGGTTAGATACGGTTAGATTCTATATCCTAGAATTTTGTTGCACCCTAGTTGCAGTTGCTATTTACTAGCAGGTACTTGGGAGTCTTGAGGTTCCTCCATATATGAATGGGACAATCCTAGAAAATTGGGACGTGCAATCAGCAAGGCCATGAACTTGTTCACGGCTGGAGGATTGTCCCCACAATGACGCAGAGATGTTAGATTTTGGGACATAGCATTGATATGGAGGTTTCCTGAAATATGGCTACCCCTAGTTATCATCCATTTATAGATGGGTTTTTCCATAGTAAACCATCTATTTTGGTGTACCACCATGGCTGTTCTTCCTGGAACGTTTGAACGATGTCGAACGGATGCTCCAAGGAAACCACTGGCAGGATGCATCGCGATCTCAGGCCAATCAAGGGGTCATGAACGATATCTGATATACATATGGTACAGTTATGCGTACATATGTACAGTCTGTATATATGTATATCATATATTACATAGTGCATGGTGTTTTGTAATAATCGTACGTATATATATATATGTTTGTATACATACATATGATTATATATGTACGTATATACAAAATATGACTATTAAGTATTGTTTGTTTGATGATAATACACACATGTCATGTTGTTTATGCATATATATATATATTATTAAAGTATTCCGTACACATGTATTGCAAATAAAGTCATCAATTAAAATTGACAATTACAGGGTGAAGCTACCGCCGTCAGGCTGGCTGCTGCCTGCCGCGCGGATTCCTGCGGCCACTCGCTCCTTTTGGCTCTTCCACGGGCGAGAGGACGTTCAGGTGATGGTGGTCCAATGCCCGGCAGGAACAGACACACCAGATTGTACCAATTTGCGAATACATAGGAGGTTTACTGATTCTAATAGCAGTTCAAATCTCGTGAAATGTATTTCATAGATTTTAATAGGATGGACTTCGGATGAAAGTTGAAATATGTGTGATGTGTTAGTCAACCTGAGTAGAGACCATTGCCCCGCTCAAAGAACCCACTCGAAGTTAAGAATCCCCCCTACTAAGCAAAACAACGGGGAACTTCCATTGACATCTGAACACTGACACACTATCCAGGTGAGTGTGAACTGCTCCAGCTTTGCTGCAGAGAAATTGCGAAGCTTGGCTGCAGACACGGGAATACACAACTGGGAGCGGCAATGATTTCACTTGACATGACCCCGAACAGATTAGCCTCTAGCCCAAAGCCGTTTGACCACGGTTCACATATGTTTACATGTAATTGTGATACATATCAATCACTTTACTTTGCTGATGATACATGTCCAGATGTTTGTTGCATAGCCCTCTTTGCGTCTTCAAAACAGTTGACAGCGAAACTTGCATGATCTTGTGGGATGCTTCATTTGGTTCTAATGCTGGAGTCCCAATCTATCCATTCCATGCGTGCCCCATAGCTTTGTATAGCCCTATAACCTACACACAACTGGGGGTATCCCATGTAGTACTATCTTATCACGTGGATATCACGTGGATTATAAATTCAAGTATGGTACACTGGTTGGTGGTTTGGAACATGAATTTTATGACTTTCCATATATTGGGAATGTCATCATCCCAACTGACTTCCATATTTTTCAGAGGGGTAGAAATACCACCAACCAGTACAAGTTTGGACGTTCCAAGGACACTTTGGTGCCACAGTGCGCCTTAGACTTGGCTCTGCTGGACATGCGCCAAGCATCTCGGTATCTTAAACATATCATCGGAAAGAGACCCGAGCATGTGTTGTATGCAACATGTGTATATATATATACATATCTGTGTGTATGTATGTGTATATATATATATATTAATATTGCATACAACATATATATATATGCATATTGACAATGTATACATTGAAGAGAAACGGTATATTTTGGATTATTTTTGTATATGAAGGAAACGACTTCACAACAACCTACCAATAATTGATGGTTCGTTAATGGGGCCATCCTAAAAAGGTGTTTACTTGAGGTTTAGCAATGTCTATGTATATTTACATGTTGACCTCACCTGATTGGTTGATTCCCAACCAACATGTTTGACACTGCAAATGCAGTTTCATAAAACCATACTTGATGCATCACACGACATGTAAATGGACCACAGGCGGGCATATGTTTCGTCAACGCTCGTCAACAACAAACAAATACTCCTGGAGGGCTATCCATGGGCCCATATCGTTGATGGTAATGGCCCCAAGTCTTTTCGCCAGTAGTGTCCTGTTTTGATGCTTCTACGATACATGATATTTTGCCCATCAAATATCATGAATGCAAATCATGCCAGCGACCCCTGTAGATATTGAACGCATCCTAAATTTGACGGTTTGGAGGCGGCATGATACCAGCACCATAGGATATTTGGGGTGCAACCTAGTTAGCAAGTGGGTAATAGTCATGCTAGACTCGAGTTGTTTATATGAAATATCTTTAGCTACACAAGGCTATATATATATATACTAGATACAATTATACACATCAATATAGTTGTACTTGAATATACATAATATACGTTATATGGAATTGTTTCAATATATATATATATATACACATGGGTTTTCTCCGGGCGATATACCAAGTGGGATGCACCGCTGCGTGGGGCCTACTGTGCAGGTCCCCCGATGCTCCACGCCTTGACGGAGTTTTTCCAAGAAGCGATGGCGGCACGGTGACCTGATGGGATGGAATAGTGAAGCAATGGTAACGGGGGATACCCTCTGGTAATTTAACATAGCTATTGAAAATGACCATTTATAGTGGATTTTCCCATTAAAAATGGTGATTTTCCATAGTTATGTTAGTTTACCAGAGGGTATATGAAAAGTTATTATTTATATATCATCCCAATAATTTTTCTGTACCATACAGAGTAGGGATATCATCCCCAAAACTAGCAATATTTAATCATACAGAAAAGTTTTTGGGATGATGAACTAATGTATATATATATGTCTTTCATAGCATGTGAAATTGGAGTTTTCATGCTGGAGTTTGGACATTGACTCGACTATCAGTGAATGGAATTTTATGACCAGGGGGACATAAACGTGGAATAATCGAAGTTATCCTGTAATTTTGAAAAACCAAAAATTGCAAGATTGTTTTGCTCAGGAACTTTCCAATTACATCAAGTACATGCTTTCCATTGTAGGACTGCGACAAGTTATTTCTCGCTGAGTCGTAAAGATATTATGTTTTAATAGATTCAAGGTTTGCGTTCAGAATAGTCACAATGTATTCATGCATGCCTCTGACAAGAGAACATGTGTTGGTCCCTAGGCCCTAGCTTTGACTTGCACCAAAGCCCGTTGCATACGACCAGACCATGTTTCAATGTTTGGGTTAATCTTAAGGCCAATGTTTATGTATGTGTATATGCATTTGTTTGAAGTGTATGCAGCATATGTGTTTCAACAACAACGACACCAGCTTCATTTATATATAGATTTTGATCCCAGGAACAACTACATTGAATGAAATTAGACATTAAAATCCGCTTGTTTGTAGCCTAGCACTCCACTTCCATGACCCTAGGCCATGGCACAATAGCCTTGCCACTTGCCGCCCTTCAGGCTGCACCCGACTCTGGAAAAACCGGCGCAAAACGCTGCGGCGCAGAGTGATTTTCTGATGGGCATCCCCGAAAGATATTTTTTTTGGAGGGAAAAACAACAATAATCTCCAAGGAATTTCAACAGATGCGAACTTATGAACCGTTTGATTTATATACTTGCGACCATCATTCCAAATTTTGGGACCATTTTTGCATGACATTGACTGACATATTTTGTTACATTTACTTGGATACCTTGACTATGAGGCAATACACGTAAGAAATCCCATCCCATGGACCCAGCCATTTTTGGACGGGTTTCCCAGCCATGCCAAGCATATGCCAAGCTGTGTTAGTTTCCATACTTGTAAGAGCAGATCTCAATTACAGATCATTTTCCTCGTAAAGGTGGTAGGTTTATCGCTAGGCCATGGGATACATGGCTCTTGGGAGCAGGTTGAATCAGAGTCGGTCCAAACACGTTAAACCGTTTAAACACGTTTGGAGCCATGACCCCAAAAGGTTTAAACGTTTGAACTCATATGTTGTTGGGCTGCTTGAACATGTCCCAAGTGACTCAAGTGAGTGATTTGAGTAATAAGAACGGGTGAGCGAGAAAGAAACACCAGGGTGATGTCACTAGCAGCAGATTTCTCAGTGCTTGCTTCTGCAAGTGCGCATGATCTCATGCAGTTAGGTCCACAATCTCGTGGAATTTGTTTAAACATATTTAAACATTTGTTTAAACATGTTTGTATAACGGAATTCACCAGAGTCCCCTACTGTACTACCCCGGATTGGTTTAAACATTTTCGGTTTAAGCATCTTTTAAACAAAAACATGTTTAAACCGCTTAAACCAACTCTAGGCCCAATCGTGGTTTGAAACTCTGGGATCCAAAGGTGTGATACTTGGTTTCTGATGTGTAATAATGAGTTCCTTCCCATAATATTAGATAACCCCGCTGGAAACGCTGGGTTATGCATGGTTTTGTAATGGATGTGTTTATTTCTTGGGCTCATCTAGATATTTACTATTTTTTGGGATAGGGGGATTGGATTACTTGATAGGCAAAACATGAAAATTGCCACGCGCCAAATGCGTTGTGTAGTGCTCAAAATGTCGCATTTTGGTGCCCGTAGGTTCTGAAAGTTCCTATCTTTCAGCGAATCCTACAGATTCACCGGGCAAGGAGCCATCATAGGGCCATCAAACGGAGCCGAAAATCCAGTGGTTAGGGAGCCAAGCAGCTATGGCTATCCATATCTGGTTGGTGGTTTGGAACATGAATTTTATTTTTCCATATATTGGGAATAACAATCCCAACTGACTGATATTTTTCAGGGGGGTTGAAACCACCAAGTAGCTATGGCTATCCATATTCCTTGGTAGATGGGAAACCAGTTGGAGCTATGAATTGAGTTTCAGCACATTATAGTTTCACTTAGGAGTTTCTGTTGAGATGGCAACGTTCGGATTTGGTAGTGTAGGAGATGGTAGATGAGAAGCTTGGTGTTCACCTCTGGCTTCGGGTGTGCAACTGGAATTTCAGGATTCTGAACGGGTTTATGAGTGCGAACACCTTTGTTTTCATGGCAGGTTATGTATATTGTAGATACATTTGCTTGGTGATGTTGGTGCTGTGTTTGGAGAGATATGTCTGATGTACCGATATGCTACTTGATTTCAATCGGGCATCTAAGATCCAACAGCGGCCCTTAGGGTACTACTACACTAGGCCCCAGCGAGTCCCATGGAGGAACCAGTCTTTCTGGAAGATGCCAAGACCTTTCGCGATGATCTGAGATGCTCGGCTGCGGTGCAAGTTCCATGGTCTGTTTGATGAGGGCTCGGGATATATCCTGAGAATCTCCAGTGATGGTGTGTTTATGGTGGCCGTTTCGCTGATGGCCCCGAGCTGTTGGCAACGACATTTTTTTGGGATCTACTTGTGGATTCACCAGGAAACTTCAGAGTGGGAGTACTTGAGAGGGGAGGATCTATAGCCCTCAAAGAAATGGATGTGTCAAAAAGATGGGGGAATCCCACCTGGTTGGTGGTTTGGAACATTTGGATTATTTTCCATTTCATATATGGGATGGGATAATCCTTCCCATTGACGAACTCCATCATTTTTCAAGACGGGCACAGTCACCACCAACCAGATGAATATCCCATAGTTATATTTGATTTGCCCACTAAAAATTGTGATTTTCTACAGCAAACTGTTAGTTTACCAGCAAAAAGATGGCTTAAAGATCTCACGCATCGATCCCGGGCCAAACTATCCAGTGGTTTCATGGATGGAGCTAGCAAGTTGCATCCATATTCCGTCATATTCTCGATTATTGGGAGCCAAGGAGCTACTAACAGTTTCCAAAGCACATTAGTATCGTTTTTGAATTTGCTCGCAATGATTTTTTCCAAAGTATCTTACAGTTCTACAATGTTGTATACAGTTTGTTTGTGCAAGGATTCATGATTTTGTTGCTTCATTCTTAAAGCAAAACGTCGTTCTGGGAACTCCCTGAAGATCCAAGACAGCCCTGTTTGGATCTCTCAAATTCAGAAACTTTAAATTGTCAACCCAGGATTACTAGCAT